AAAGAAGGCATTGCATGGATAGAAAAATGGAACCTTGGCAGCATTGATGGCCAAGGAATTAAAAAGGCCAATGCTGAAAATAGAAGTTTTTACCTGGTGAAATGGTCAACCGGTACAAATAGATCTGACCTTTTATAATAACTTCCAATCAAATGGTAAGGAGCTAAAATCTCTTCAAGCCTACACATGACATAAAAACAATGTTTTTTTTTTTTTGGGTAGGTAATTCTGTTGGGGAAGACATGCCCCTACTCATTTTTCTCAATAAGTACTCATTTTTCACAATAAGAGTTACATTTTGAAAATGTTAATTTGAGGTGCTAGCGATAGAAATGGATGCCATGATGTAGTAACTGAGTGTGAGGATGCTATCATCACGACACCAGCCCCTTTCCTACATAGAAAGAATCTTGATGTAAAAATAGTGATTAACATATATACCATATGAGGATACGGTTTATGTGGGTCCGAGTTCACACGTGGATATGTGGCCATTCTTCACAATCCATCTTTTATATGGATTTTAAATTTAATTTTTTAATTACATATAATCTCTAACATGGAGATCATTAATATGTAGAAGAAATAAATTTTAAAAACTTAAAATGATAATTTATTTGAGAAAAATCTTTAAACCGTGGAGTTTTAGTTTTTTTTTTTTGAGGGACGAGCACTCTAAATTAAGTGTAGTTGCGCGTATCATGGAAAGTTGAAGACGCTCTATGAATTTCGGCATTGCCAAACACACTCTTCTTGTGGATTCACTTAAAGCACGTTTGGTTCGCATAAAATTGTTTTCCAAAAAACATTTTCATATGAAAATATTTTATCTATCATGTGGCTAAGTGTAGAAATATTTTTACATCAATTGGTTGTCAATTGATATGAAAAGATAGATTAAGACCAATTAGTACAAAAATATGAAAATGTTTTATCTATCATGTGGCTAAGTGTAGAAATATTTTTACATCAATTGGTTGTCAATTGATATGAAAAGATAGATTAAGACCAATTAGTACAAAAATATTCCCACACTTAACCATATGAGATAATTTTTTTCATGTGAAAATGTTTTTTAAAAAACAATTTCATGTGAGCCAAACGTGTTAGAAAAAAAAGGTACATCATTGTTAATATATGTATGTTATATGAGCAGCATCAAAAGATCGATCATTTATTTTTACCTTGTAGATATTGTAGTTGGATGTTGCCTATCTATAAGTTGGGGCTTCACCTTAATTGCCCTAGATCGGCCAATAATGTGGTAAATCATCTTAATTTGCGACACTTTTCAAATATTGGAAAGAGTTCCATGGAATTCGGGATCTGGTGATTCCAAATAAACGATACATGTCTGAGGTTGTTTTATTTAAGCATGTTTATAGAGAAGCCAGTGGAAAAACTTGGTGAAATGGCCAAAGGGTCGGGCACAAGGCGTGCTTGGTATGCATTGAATGTTTCCTGTTTTTTTTTTGCGATTGTATACAATAAGATCACTTTCCTTTGATATAAAATAGTCACAATTATTTACAACCATCCTATATGAAATTTGATGGTTTGGGTGTCACAAAATTCGAAAAACTTTATTTTGAAGTTTGAGCTTGATCAATGAAATAAATGCAGCCACCCAATTTTAAATCCAATAGTCAAGATTAATTGTGACCACCTTGTATTAGATAAATAGTCTCATTCTATACCTTTCCTTTCTTTTTAGTTTCAAGCTATTGTATTTCCTTTGATGATTACCAAAATGAAGTAATAATTTGCCAAATCGCCAATAGAAAAAAGAACAAGAGAACTAGGGAGAACTTCGACGTTGATTGTTTTGTGCTTCAACGTTCTTCATAAATTGAATACTTACTCGGAAAGGACATTAAGGCTACTTCCTCGTAGTGTTTTCTCCTTGCAACTTCTCTTTGTAGGCCCCAGCTTTTTTATTCTTTAAAATAATGTTAAAAAAATTATAACATGCAGGAAAGATAACAGTTGCATTTTATATACATATATAGGGATTGTGATTGTATACAATGAGACTATCTACCTTTGGTATAAAGATGTCACGATTGCTTATAACCATCCAATGTGAAATCTGATAACTTAGTGTCACAAAGTTCGATAAAACTTCTTTGGAACTTTGAACTTGATCAATAGAATAAATGCAGCCACTTAATTTCACATTCAATAGTCCAGATTAATTGTGATCACCTTGTACCAAAGATATCTTATTATATATCCCATAGCGATATATCACCTTCTATTTAGTTACAATTCTCTCAATCTTTACATGGAAAGCAAATCCCACAAATTGTTAAATTTTCCTAGACATCCCACCTGAATTGCAACAACATACGGACTGCAAGTCGCACAAATTCCCAAATTTCTCTAATTAATCAACCCACATGAATTGGAACTCCTAAATATGATCTAGATTTCAGCTAATCCAATTTTTAGCTACCAATAAAAAACAAATATATAACTCTTTAAAGAAAATGAATGAGATTTCTATAGGACCTAGGTAAAACAAAATAAACCTCCACCTCAAATCTTCGTCCGGAAAGCACTTACGGAAACAGAAAACTCCATGATGGCTCTAAAATCAATTTCCAATGCATAATGAAATTCAAAACTAAAAAAATAGTACAGATCTTGTGGATATATGAACACTTATATTTAAGACAAAATAGACGATCTAGATAATTTGTTACAATATACACTATTTTCAAAACTGAAAATCCCTTTTTTCTTTTCTTTTTCACAATCATAACGTTCAAGCCAAGATGATTGATGTAAAGGTTTTATAATGCTTGAATTGCAATTTTCGATGAGTTATAAGGTGCGGCTTTACTTGTTTGGATAGAGCTGCAGCTCTATCAAACCATTTTCCAAAGAAAATAGGTATTACATCTTATGGTTGTCAAATCTCAGCTTTATTAAGAAACTGACAAACAATCACTTCAATTTTTTGAAGTGTCCCAGGAGCCTCTTGGCTGAAGATCTGGAGACTGTTATCAGAGGTTTATAATCAAATATTTTGCCGATTTTATGACGGCTAGTACAATGTACTCCAAGAAAAATTTCTGCCATTACAAAAAGTTAAAAATGCTAGTAAGAGATTTACAGGCAATGACTTAAACAGATGCTCACGCAAATCACAACCGCTGTGAAATGTGGTCAAGTTGCAAGATCAGAACTATGCATGTTTGAAAGTAAAGTCGTCTCAATCAACAAATAGCAACATTATTCGAACTCAAACTAGAGCTCTCAGTCACTTACTCAGACAATGGGCAGGCTTTTTCAAATAGCTCTTGCTCCTTGCGACAAAGTTCAAACTCATTGGTGTGGTAGTACATGCAGCCTACATAAGCATCCATCTCTTTCCCACACGTCCGATGAAGTCCTTTCAGCCTGCAAACATGGAAAGACAACTTGGATTCTCAAAAACTGTCAATTTCTAGGCAAAAAGATGACTTCACTTTTGAAGCATAAGATCCCTCTGTATAGAGCATCTCTCTCTCTCTCT